AAAAAAAAAAAAAGAGAGATGAGAACATGATGGCCTGAAATGAAGATAGAATGAGACCTTGAGTTTGCTTTTGAAGAAAGGGCTTCCCTTTGAGAGGAGTAGAGGTGGCAAAACGATAAAAGTTGAGAATATTTGAGATTTTCTTGGTGAAAGATGTGATTTTCATAAAGAAATATGGAGTCCACACTTTTAGTATTAATAGCTACCATTGACTAAGCAGCTGCTTTGTGTTAAATTCTAAATTTTAGAGGGCCGGGGATTTAGCTCAGTGGTTCTGCCACCTGCCTCGAAAGTGCAAAGTCCCAAGTTCGATCCTTGGTACCAAAAAAAAAATTCTAAATTTAGAGTAGTCACTAATTGGTATGTTTGCCTTTTCTTTTAATGTCTTTTTTCTCAGAAGAATGATGAAAATGGAAACTGCTCAGGGGAAGGAATTGAATTCCCTACAACAAATTTATATGAACTGGAAAGCCGTGTTTTGACTGATCATTGGTCCATTCCTTACAAGCGAGAGGAATCACTAGGCAAATGCCTGTTGGCGTCTACCTATCTAGCAAGACTTGGTAAGCTTCCCTGCCTCAGAAAACATGAGGTTTTTTTCCATACGTGGTTAGGGTTAATCTTAGGTCTTGTCATTGTCTGTGTGATCTTGAATGGATCATTTATTCTTTTAGTCTTTGTTTATCACCCTGTGAATAAAAGCTTTGAACTACGTCAGCTGTTTTCTTCTAGCAGGACTAGTAAGGTTATTTACAATATAGTTGTAAAGCTTTATAGCAGTTAAAATTAATTTTTTCCACAGAAGCTTGCAATACCTTAAGCTTTGAAAATTCAAGGGTGTTTTGTTTTGTAGAACAGAAAGTAAAGGCTGGGGTGTAGCTCTGATAGAGCACTTGCTTATCATATGTGAGACTGTGAGCTCCATTCCCAGCACAACCAGAAAGGCTGAGAGAGAGAAGAAAGCAGTGTTTAGATTTACCATCATTTGTGTTTATTAAATGCCTGGCACAACTGTCTTAAATGGTTTGCAAAAGGGCTGGGGATTTACCTCAGTGGTTCTGCCACCTGCCTCGTAAGCTCAAGGACCCGAGTTCAATCCCCAGTACCAAAAAAAAAAAAA